TAATTGGATTCAAAATTACTGTAGATGGGTCTGGAATGCAATCAGGATAGTGATGAGGTCTAAAGGTTAGGGGTGCTGGGACCCCAAGATCATGACATATGGGCCCTGCCTGAAAGAATTCAACTCACATCTTCTTTCAGCCAGAGAAAAAGTTTATTAGAGATAAACCATACAGGCAAGAATCTTAAGGAATCTGAACATTGGTAATGCCTGTAAAGACTACCAGGCACGAGAAAGTCTCAGTGTTTAAATGGGGGCCAGGGTGGATCTATGGAAGATCATTTGGAGACTCCTTTAAATGAACTGATGTCATTTGGCTGCAAATAAGTTTTGTTTCATGTTTTGAATACACAATATTGTATATGTTCTTATTGTGTTTCTAAAGTTTCTTGTACTATAAATTTTGAGAAACCATTGTAAAAGAAATGGTGTTAAGAGGACAATGCAATTGTATCAAAAAAAATAAACCCTCTTTTAATCTGAATGCTGTGAAATTACTAATTAATTCATCAGAGGTTGTTGTCATAATATGAAAACCTATCCAGTATTCAATTGTGTATATCTTGTTTTCAAAGGAAGAATAATTGCTAATCGTGTAGGAAAAGTTTTGTTGTTGCTGTTGTTTTAAAGAGCCATTGTAAAATCTTGCCTATAAACTTGCCAGGTTCTATTTGGTCAAGTTCATCAAATCTTATCAGCCTTGGGGAAAAAAAAAAACCTTGTTAAATGTTGTGAAATTCTACAATAATCATTTGGTTTTCTGAGAAAGTGGGATCTCTTTTTCCATCACAAACATTCAACACCAAAACAGTGCAAAATAGGGTGGGAGGAAGGACTTGTAAGCATGCTTTTAGCATAGGAGTGATTTAGGTGATGATTTGTGATGAGGAAAAGTATGAAATTATACCCAGAATAATATACATTGCAGTTACATCTCCAGTCAATTTATTCTCATCAGGCTAGTCTTAAATTCATTAACTTGAGATATCGTCTGCTTTCTGAATTTTGGGACCCAGCACCTATCATGTCTTCAAAATTGGTGAAAATGAGCAAAAGGAAACTATTAATATTAGAATTCCTTTAAATTTTGAAATTCTCAAACACAAAATAAAAAGATATGTGTGTTTATATAGTGTAAATCAGAAAAAGAAGACTGTATATGGAACAATTTTGATAACGTATTTATTGTTATTCAGTCATCTTGGTTGTGCCCAAATCCTCATGATCCCATTGAGGGCTTTCTTGGTAAAGATGCTAGCGTGTTTTGCCATTTCCTTCTGCAGCTCATTTTACAGATGAGGAAACTGAGGTAAACAGGGTTCAATGACTTGTCCAGGGTGACATAGCTAGTAAGTGTCTGAGGCTGGATTTGACTTCAGGTATTCCCAACTCCAGGGCCAGTGCTCTGTCCACTGCACCACCTTGCTGCCTTTCTAACATGTAGAGCTTGGTTTTACTTCTGAGTTATTAAAAAATTCAACACGGCATTTCTACAGCTGTTATCATTCCTTCTGGCCTTCCTCCTCTTGTTTTTTAAAGAAATCCACCAATTTCCTTCTTTACTTTTTGTTTTTGCTGGAGTTTGGGGTATGAGTACAATGCTATTCCTAGCCTCCTTCACACTACCAATCTCTTCCATCCAAATCTGAAAAACAAATAAAAATGTTTATAATAAAAGTAAAATCAGTTCCCACACTACCATAGTCCACAATGTACTTTTTATTCAATACGTTGAACCCATCGCCTCTCTGTCAGGAGGCAGGCAGCAGAGTCCTCTGGAAGAGTGCTTGGTCATTACAATACTCAGAGTTGTGACATCTTCCAAAGTCGTTGGTCTTTACAATGTTCTTATTGTTACCAATAATTCCGTTGATGCTACTTACCTCACCCTAGATCCATTCACTCGCCAGGTTTGAATAAAATTGCCTGTTGTATGGTGTAGTTGTGTTCAAATCCATTTGTAGACCAACCTGTATCCATCTCTTGCCCTATCATAGGGCATGATATCTCAGGTTCCAGTTGTTATCCCTGAAGAAACTGTAAAAAATATTTTCATACACTTCAGTCCTTTTGCTCTTTCTTTGATTTAAGGGAATGGCCCCTAGTGGTATCACTGAGTCAAAGAGGAGACACAATTTAGTGACTTTGGGAGCTTCTCACCAACAGGGAATTAATTAATTTGCCTATTTTCCCACAGCCCCTCCAATCCTCGTTATTTCTTCCTTTGTTATCATTGCCAATTTGCATTTGGAACCTCACAAATGATTTAAGTTACATTTATCTAATTATTAGTGGTTTTTAGCATATTTCCTTAAGCTTTTTTAAACTTAATATTATTTTTAAATAAACATTTATTTCTCCCCCTCTTACCTGCCATCTTACAGGTGAAAAGGAAAGTAAAAAGACATTCATTACAAATTTACAGTCAAAAAAATAGATTCTCTCCAATATTTGTTATTTTCATTTTTGAAATAACCTTTGCCAATCTGATAAGCTTTCTAATTATTATTGATCTTCATTAGTGATAATAGATGCAGAGCATTTTCCCATGAGATTGTTATCATTTATATTTCTTCCTTTGAAAACTGCCTATTCCTAGCTTTTGATGTATTAGGGCACAAAAACCTCACAACAAATACAGAAAAGCAAAAATGTAAAATTAATCTTTTTTGGACCATCATGTATTTATCCTATTGCAGAACCTTTCATTACAACTGAAGTTAATCTGGCAACTTTTGTATTAGAGTTCATTTTCTTATAAAAATGTTCTGCTAATAATTCTTCAGTGGAAGGACTATAAAATTGTGCATACTCTTTGACCCAGCAATACCACTTCTAGGTCTGTATCCAAAGAGATTATATAAATGAGAAAAGGACCCACATGTGCAAAAATATTTATAGCAGCTCTTTTTGTGGTGGCCAAGAATTGTAAATTGAGGGGATGCCCATCAGTTGGGGAATGGCTGAACAAGTTGTGGTATATGAATATAATGGAATACTATTGTGCTATAAGAAATAATGAGCAGACAGACTTCAGAAAAACCTGGAAAGACTTATATGCACTGATGCTGAGTGAAGTGAGCAGCACCAGGAGAACACTGTACAGGGCAACAACCACATTATGTGATGACTACCTTTGATAGAGTTATCTCTTAGCAATGCAAGGATATAAGACAACTCCAAAAACTCATAATGGAAAATGCTGTCCACATCTAAAAAAAACTATGGAGTCTGAATGCAGATTGAAGCATATTATTTGTGCTCTCTCGTTTTTGGTTTATTTCTTCTTTCTCATGGTTTCTTCCATTGGTCTTAATTCTTCTTTACAACATGACTAACATGAAAATAGGTTTAATATGAATATTTAAATAAAAATTTAGCTTTTCAAAGAATTTTTGTTGGGCTTGTGTCCTATGTGCATCTTTCTTTGAGGCTTTGCTCGTGAATGTTTTCAAGGCACTGCAATCTTGTGTTCAGGTCTTGAGCTTCCCTGTCACCATAGCTATTTATGGTCAGGTTCTTTTTTGTTTGCTCATTTTTCTAGACTATTTCTTGACTTTGGTCTTCATATTAGAGTTCGACTCTGACCACCACTGGAATGGATGTCTGTCCCATGCCTCTGTATTTTATATCCTGATGTGTTTACTGCTAGATCTATGGGCTTGTCTGTAGTGCTTCCAAAGTGGTGTGATTCAGGGTAAGATATGATCACTTCCCTCTTGATCTGTGCTATGGTTTTTATATTAGAAGGGGCCCTGATCTCTCACAACTGAAACTCTTACCAGGAACTGGATAATGGATGACAGAGCTGCCAAAAGTCTCCTGATGCTATGCCCAGTAATAGCTCAGAGGCCCCCTGGCATCCCTTTCTGACCAGAAGTACAGTCCTCTGTAAAGTTCTTCTGCCTCTTCTGTGTCAACTCTGAAGCCACTAGCCAATGCCAATTCCACTGCACCATGCTCCCAGCCAGCTCCCACCCATGTCCACCAGACTTCTCTTTATGTCTTCCTAAGCTATATAGGGCTGTAAAAATGATTCACTGAGATTTTTGTCTCTTTTGCTCATTATATGTTAGGTACATTTAAGTTGCTAAAGAGAGGTGTATAGGAAGAGCTAGGCAAGTATACTGGTCTCACTCTACCATCTAGGCTGCAGCCCCCATTTTCTTTTGTACATTAGGCACCTGTTCTATTGAATTTTTCAAGCTTTCTATTTTTAATTACTACAAAATAGTCTGTACTATTGCTTTATTTTTCTTCAGGAAATTAGGGTTAAGTGACTTGCCCAGGGTCACACAGCTAGTGTCAAGTGTTTGGTCTGAGGCCAGATTTGAACTCAGATCCTCCCGACTTCACAGCCGGTGCTCTATTCACTGCACCACCTAGCTATACCCTGTATTATTATTTTAGATTTGTTCCTGCTAGGCCTCCTTTCTAGAATACTGGTAAAGGCTGTGGAAAGATATATGAACACGTTTTTCATGGGAGCAGAAATTTAGAGTTGGGAGACCATAGAACTAACTGAGGACAACTTCCTCATTTTAGAGAGGAGTAAATTGAGGCAGAGAGGTTGTTCCTTGCCCAGTGTTACACAGCTAGAGAACGTCTGAGGCAGGATCTGAATCCAAGTCTTCCTGACTCTAAACCCAGGGCCACATCATTACAATATACTGCCTTCTTCTATATTGTTTTGAATATCAATTTGAATTACAAGAAAAGTGACTAAACTATCCATAACTTTTAGCAAATGACTCCACTATGAGCCTAATGGCCCTACGGAGTAATAATAACTTGCATTTACGTAGTGATTTAATGTTTACAATGTGCTTTACAGGTATTAATCTTATTTGATCCTCACATTAACCCTGTGAGGTGGGTGTTCTTAGTATACATACTCTACAGATGGGGAAAATTAAGGTAGTAATAGATTGGATGACTTGCCCAGGGTCACACAGCAAATGTCAGAAACTGAATTTGAACTTAAATCTTGTGACTCCAAGAGCAACACTGTATCCACTGTACCACCTATTATCCTAAAGAAATCATTACGGAAACAAATGTCGAACAGTTACCAAAATATTTTTATAAGAATTACTTGTGTCAACAAAGAACAGGAAACAAGTGAGTATTAATCAATTGGGGAACAGCTAATGAAGTTACTGTATATGAATGATATGGACTATTATTGAGAATTGAAAACAGTAGCATTTCAGAGAAAAATCCATTACACCTATAGGGCTTTATTCACAGTATGAAATTTGGGTTGTCTAATGAGGTCTACGGTGAAGCAAGAGGTCTTCTATTAAGCACGTGGGCAGAATGAATTTTATGATGTTTGACAAGATTTATAGTCCATCTTAATGCCTTTCCTCATTTATTACACTGATACGGTTCATATCTCCTATGAATTCTCCTATGGGAAATAAGGGATGACTGTTGCCGGAAGGTTTTAACACACAGATTACATTCATAAGGTTTGTCTCCAGTGTGGATTCTCTGATGTACAATAAGAGATGAGTGATCCCTAAAAGATTTGCCACATTCATGACATTCATGAGGTTTCTCTCCAGTGTGGGTTCTCTGATGTAGAGCAAGACTGGAGCTGTGTCTAAAAGTCTTTCCACATAGATTACAGTCATACGGTTTCTCTCCAGTGTGGATTTTCTGATGTTTACCCAGATTGGAGCTGCATCTGAAAGCCTTTCCACACTGATTACATTCATAAGGTTTCTCTCCAGTGTGGATTCTCTCATGATCAACAAGACTGGAGCTGCATCTGAAAGTCTTTCCACAATGATTACATTCATAAGGTTTCTCTCCAGTATGGATTCTCTTATGTTCAGCAAGATTGGAGGTTTGTGTAAAAGTCTTTCCACAATGATTGCATTCATAAGGTTTCTTTCCAGTGTGGACTCTCTGATGTAGAGCAAGATTGGATGTGTTTGTAAAAGTCTTTCCACATTGATTACATTTATAAGGTTTCTCTCCACTGTGGATTCTCTGATGTAAAGCAAGACTGGAACTCTGTGTAAAAGTCTTTCCACACTGATTACATAGATAAGGTTTCTCTCCAGTGTGGATTCTCTGATGTACAATAAGGGAGGAGTGTTCAATAAAAGCTTTACCACACTCATGACACTCATGAGGCTTCTGTCCAGTGTGGATTCTCTGATGTAAAGCAAGACTAGATCTGCATCTGAAAGCCTTTCCACACTGATTACAGTCATAAGGTTTCTCTCCAGTGTGAATTCTCTGATGATCAGTAAGACTAGAGCTCTGTCTGAAAGTCTTTCCACAATGACTACATTTATAAGGTTTTTCTCCAGTGTGGATTCTCTGATGTAGAACAAGATTAGAGTTGCATCTGAAAGTCTTTCCACATTGACTGCATTCATAAGGTTTCTCTCCAGTGTGGATTTTTTGATGCTCAGCAAAACCAGAGCTCTGTCTGAAAGTCTTTCCACACCGATTACATTTATAAGGTTTTTCTCCAGTATGGATTCGCTGATGTAGAGCAAGATTGGAGTTGCATCTGAAAGTCCTTCCACATTGATTACATACATATGGTTTCTCTCCAGTGTGGATTTTCTGATGCTCAGCAAAGTTGGAGCTCTGTCTGAAAGTCTTTCCACATTGATAACACTCATAAGGTTTTTCTCCAGTGTGAATTCTCTGATGTTTAGCTAGACTAGAACTGCATCTGAAAGTCTTTCCACACTGAATACAGTTACAGGGTTTCTCTCCAGTGTGGATTCTCTGATGTAGAACAAGATTAGAACTACATCTGAAAGCCCTTCCACATTGATTACATTCATAAGGTTTCTCTCCAGTGTGGATTCTCTGATGTACAGTAAGACTAGAGCTCTGTTTGAAAGTCTTTCCACACTGATTACATTCAAAGGATTTCTTTCTTCTCTGATGTACAATAAGAGATGAGTTTTCACTGAAAGCTTTACCACACTCATGAGATTTCTCTCCAGTATGAGTTCTGTGGTGGGAAATAAGGGATGACTGTCGCCCGAAGACTTTTCCACATTGCATACACTTATGTAGCTTTTCATTAGTATGAAATTTCTGATGGCAAATAAGTGGTGATAGTCCCTTAAGTGCTTTACCATGTTCATTACATTCATAATCTGTCTTTCCATTGTGAATTTTCTGGTGGTCAATGAGCTTTGAATTATGGCTGAAGGCCTTCTCACTGTCATTATGTGTACAAAGCATTTCTTCAGTGTGATTTTTCTGATGTCTAATAAGCTTTGATTTTAAGCTGAAGGCCATCTCACATCGATTACATTGATAAGTTTGCACTTCAGGAGTCTTCTCCTGAGACTCAACAAGCTCTCTCAGCTCAGTAAAGTATTCCTTATGTTTACTATCCTGACAACAGCCATTCTCTGAGTCCCTTGCCTTACAGTGAATTAGGAATGAACATTGCCTGAAACTCTTTCTACCTTTATGAAATTCACAGTGACTCTTTTGTTTTTCCTCTTTCTTGGTATCAGAGTCATTGATTTCTCTCACACTGAGGTTGCAATGACCATTATTCCTGAATCTTGGCTGTTGTGATTCTTCCACAGAAATACTCAGCTTGGCAGCTGTCTCCCTCATTTCAAGCCCCATTTTTCCACCTGAAGGAAAAAAACAAACATTTATAGGACACATACACATATACACGAGTGTATCTTCTACCCTCCATTGACACAAAAAGTTAAGTGATTTATTATCTATTTCTAGGAAAAGAGATTTAGAAGCATTCCTGCAGAAGTACAAGCTAATGCCAAATGAAGAGTATGAGAAAAGTACTACAAAAATTAATTTGAGTTTTTGTTTTTTAAAAACCAAATGTGGCTGGATTTTTAAAGTTATAATTCTTGTCATTTTCTGTAGTTAATTTCATTGTACCTATTAAAAATGGTGATTATTATTCTGCATTTAGCTGTGTGAAAAAGTTTCTTTAGGAAGGCATCACTCAAAGGTCGCTGACTGCCAGGACTGGACCAGTGTCTCCCACTGGAATAGAAGGCTACAGCTGCCAAGTAACAGGACTCAGCAATGAGTCCGTGAGTTTTTCCCCACCACAGAAAGGAGAAAGGGGAAAGGAAAGATGAATCAGTCTAGTCATAAGATGTTTGCTCCCAAGACTTTCCAGAGAATGTGAGTCAACTCTGTTTTCCCCACTGCTGTGGGTTCTGGAGCTCCCCTCTCTGAGTCAATCCACAGCCATCTTCACTTCAGACCAAGCACACTCTTAATTCAGATTGCACCACGTCCCTCACGTAACCAACTGCTACAAAAGAGCTGCTCTGTCGGATGGATCCCTGGGAATCAAGGAGCCTTGGATCCTACTCATTGGCCACTGCTGGCCTTGCTGACAGACGGACTGTGCTCAGGCCTTTGTGTCTCAGCTTCTCTTTATCACAGATTTCTATCACTACAAATGGCACATTTGCGGCACGTGTATTAAGTATTCACATTATTTCATTACCTATCACATCTATAAAAACAGTTTAATTTCCCTGGTGATTCCTTTTATCTTACTTTTTCTCTTCTCATGTCCAAGACCACATCATGACTGCCAACCTTGGTTTTCGTATTCATCTGAGGCATACTATATTCTGTTCTGGTCCATCACTGTTTGTCTAGAACAGCCATTATCTCGCTTTTTTTAAAGTTTATCTTTGAATGTTTCCGCTCCCTAATTCAAAAAAGAAAAACCAAAATCCTCAAAATAAGCATGATAAAAAATTTATCAGTTTCCCACATCCAAAATATTATGTCTTATATTGGACCTTGAGTTTATCACCCTTCAGTTGGGAAGTGAACAGCATGCTTCACTATTAGTCCTATAGCAGCCCTTCCTATTTTGTGGTTGACAGAATCCTTGGGGCTTCACAATAATGGTCTAAGGAGTTTGAGCTAAAATTTCTTTAACGGAACATGGAGCAAAAAATAACTGCCCAACTGTGTTGTAAATATTTTTAAATAAAAATAAAATAAATGTAAATAGATTTTCCTCTGAAACAATAAGAATGTATGTTTCAAGCATAATAGTTTTCTTTCTGCAGTGACTCCACACTGTCATAACCAGGTATCTGATGCTTTTCAAGATCAGGCAGTGATTATATCAAAACCTGACCACTTCTGACTAAGTTCAACATGTTCCTTCAGTTTCTCAACCTAACATCAAATTGCTTCCCAACAGGAAGAAAGGTCTGAAATTCCCGTGCAAATCGATTCCCAGTGGATGGTCACAGGGAAGCATATCTGATCATTTGTTTTCTGTCACTGCACCAGAGTACTTTCCTCACTCCCAGGTTACCTTGTAAGCACATCTCACCACCAGGGTAATCACCAGATCATCAAGTTAAAAATATTTGCACAGATGGCAGGCTCCATGAAAACCATGAATGCCTTACAAGTGATCCTGAAATTATCATGAACCTTTACAACTCTTGTACAAAAACAGTCCTTCTCCTGTCTCTCATTACAGTCTTAAGGCTATTTTCTGATTTGAACTTATCCTCCATTGAGATAGAATGCTGGGCCTGAAGCCAAGAAGAGCTGAGTTCCTGAGGTACTTCAGAAACTTGCTAGCAATGGCACCTGGAGAAATCACAGCACTTCTGTTTGTCTTAGTTTCCTTATTTATAAAATGAGAATAATAATAGCACCCAGGTTCTAGGCTTCTTGTGAGCATCAAATGAGAAAATACTTGTAAGGTTTTTGGAACCTATGAGGCACTAGACGTAATTGTTAGCTATCATTATCATCATCATCACCATCATCACTTTCATCATCATAACCACCACCATCATCATCATCACCATCACCAACACGATCATCATCACCATCGTCAGCATCACCATCATCACCATCATCATAACCACCATCATCAGCATCACCATCACCATCATCAGCATCACCATCATCATCGTCACCACCATTGTCATCACCACCACCATCGTCATCACTATCATCATCGCAACCATCATCACCATCATGGTCATCATCGCAATCACCATCATCTTCATCATCATTGTTAGACTAGTTTTCCTCAACTCTGCTCTCCTTCTTGAACTGACATTCTCCTCTCTCCTTCTATTTACTTCTATTCCTGTTGAACTTAATGTATCTACATACCAAAACGCTTTCTTTTGCCTGGATCACCTAAGATGGAGGCTCATGATTTGTTACTGTTTCTCAAACCCTCTCCCTCTTTGTATAAGGCATAGCTATACTAGACAGCTGTTTGACAAGAGCTGTCTTTTGACTTTGTTTATATCCCCAGAGCTTAGCACAATGCCTAGAATATAGCTGTTGTTTTCTCCTTTGCTTCAAAGAGGACCAGTGGTATCACAGGGTGATGTCTTGACTAGCATGTGAATTAGATTGAAGGGAGGCAGAGTTGCACAAAGCCATCGGCCTCACTTTCTTCCAGAGTAATCAAGGTCTGCCGGCAGGACAAAAACCAAGATGGCTGGCAATGGCCCAGGATACAGAGAATGACCTTGCCATCTTTAATGTCTCACCAACATCATGCACTCCACCGTGCCTGCTTCAGCCACCTTCATGGCCACTGGAACAAATTATTCTCATCAGCCTATTCTGCAGAAGGAAATCTTCACATACTTGGGGTACAGAGGTCCATCAGTTACCCTCAACCCAGCTTAGCCTGTCTGCCAAGACAGTTTACTAGGATATGGCCACTGCACATTGTACACCTTCTTGGATCCTGGGTGAGAGCTCAGTGCCAGACAGACACCAAAAGTGAATGAATTACCTTACAAAGGACTTAGTAAGCATTCACACCAGAGATGCTGGTCCTCCTTGAACCCCCGTACACCTCTAGAACATAAGAGTCACTTAATCAGTGTTTCTTGACTGGCTTTCTGGGCCTAGGGCCAATACAAAGCCCTAACTTCTACCTCAACCCCTAGAATCTAGTCTCTCTCCATTGGTCAAACATAGGTTCTGGCCTCAGATTTGTTTTCTGTCTCCTTCTTTCACCTTATGCTGTACAAGGAGTTACCTTTGTCCAGATCCTGATGGACGGGACCTGTGGATGGCATCTGATCAGACCAAATACTGGAGATCACAAAGTTTACCCAATGGTCTCCTGCTATGGAACACCTGGGAGTCTGTACCTCCTATGCCCCTAAAATGAATGTGCCAGTAATCTACATGAATATGGCAAATGATTTCCCAGGAATGGAGACAAAGACTGGACCATAAAGATCAGGAAAGGCACTTGAGGTGATGACTTATGCAAACCTCAGCCATGGATGACCTCTAGGTAAGACACTGGCTTTCACTACTGTACATGTGCTGCTGAATGGAGAGAAAGAAAATCATGATTCCAGGTCACCTGTATTCACTGCAAATACTATGCTAACTGGGCCTCCACTGTGGCAAGGCAATCCTCTGACAATTCCATGACTCCCTATCCCACTCATCATAGCAGCTTTTTCAAATCTTTTCATTCCTCTCTAATCTTCCCATATGGCTTGCTCACCTTCACCCCTTCTCTTAGCTAAAAACTTGGCCTAATATTTCACTGCAACAACTGGACATTTACTAAGAGCTCTCTTATCTCCTCATCTCACGTAAATCAGATACCTTCTTTTCCTCCTTTATACCAGCATCACATGAAGAGGGGGCCCTCCTGCTTGACAAGGCAAACTTGCCCAAGTGGTCCCATTCCATCCCATCTACTCCCTACTCTATCATCTCTATTTTCTCACTAATTTTTAATCTCTCCCTCTCTACTGGCTCCTTCCCTACTGACACAAATGAAACCATTTGTCTTCAGTCCTCAAGGAACCTTCACTTGATTCATCCATCCTCAGTACATATTGTCTTACGTGTCTCTTCCCTTTCATAACTAAACACCAAGATAGATATATAGATATGTATGAGTATAAAAGTCTTCTAAATTCAGAAAGAAGTAAGAGGGCAAGGGGATAGGGTGGGGAGGGAGGATAAGGGAGGGACTCTTAGAGAAGTGGGTAGGTAAAGCAATAGGAGGGCAAGGCAGAAGTAAAGTAGAAGGTCTCCAACTCCTTTACACCTAAACTCTGCAGTCTGGCTTCAAACTTCACTCTTTAACTAAAACTCCCTTCTCCAGAGTTACCAGTGATCTCCTGATTGCTAAACCAAAAAGCCCTTTTCTCAGTCCTCATTCTTCTTGACCTCTCTGAAGCTTTTGACACCATTACTCATCCCCTTTCCTTGATACTTTCTTCTCTCTAGGTTTTGGTGATTCTCCTCTCTTTGGGTTCTCCTCATGCCATGTCCCAAACTAACCTCATTATCTTTCCCCCCCAACTCTCCCATCTTTCTACTTTCCTAACATCATCCAGGTCACCCTTTCGATTGTCCAGGTTCATAAAAGAGGTGTCATCCACTGCTCACCATCTCTCACACTCATACCATCATCCCCCCTCCATCTTCAATCTTTTGGAAAGTCCTGCTAATTCCACCTCTGTAACACCTCTCACATACATCCTCCCCTGTCTCCCAACACTGCCACCTTCTAGGTTCAGGCCCCAATTGCCTCATACCCGCAGTACTGAAAAAGCCTGCTGCTTGGGTCTCTCCCTAGCTCAGTCAATGCTCTACCCAGCTGTCAAGCTCATCCTCCTCAAGCTCCCATCTGACCAAGTTACTGCCTCCTCAATAAACTGCAGCTGCTCCCTAGCACCAGGATAACATATGAAATCCTCTGCTGGGCTCTTAGAGCTTTCATCATCTGCCCACCTCCTCCCTTTCCAGTCTTCTTTCATCTTACTCCCCCTCCACATACAATCCAGTAGCAAAGGCCTCCTTTCTATGCCTAGAACAGGACACACCATCTCCAGTTTCCATGGGCTTTCCCTGGTGGCCCCTCATGCCTAGAATGCTCCTACTGGCTTCCCTAAGGCCCCAACCGAAGCCTACCCTCCACAATAAGGCTTTTCCAACCCTCCTCAATCTAAGTGCCTTCCCTCCCTGACTAGCTCCAATCTAACCTGGAGTTGGCACGTTTTACATCATTCTGTCCATGTTGTCTTCCCCACTAGTCCATGACCTCCTTGAGAGCAGGGGATGCCCCTAGCCTTTCTTTGAATTCCCAGCACATAACATGAGGCCTGGCACATAGCACTGGCCTAATGAATGCTTGTTAACTTGAAGAAGGTCTACGAAAGACCTTGTATCAGACAGCCTAAGTCTGCCTGGATACCTTCAGGAGAGCTCTGTGACCCAGAGCTGCAACCAATGGATATTACAGGATCATAGTTTTATCACTGCAATGGAAATGAAAGGCCACTCCTTCATTTCACAGATGGGGAAACTGAGACTCACAGGTTCAGAGACTTGCCCAGGATCTTACTGCTAAAAAGTATCTGAAAAAAAATTTCAAGTCAGGTCTTCCTGCCCCCAAATCTAGCACTCCCCTCACTGTGTCATGTGATAACAGCCCTCACAGACCTGCTTTCCCCTCACTCACCTGGACAGGAGGTTCTGGGGTCTTCTATCTCTAGCATCCATGGTGCTTCTCCTTGTCCCAAATGGGAGATTGAATCTTCCCTGGGAACTGGAAGTCCTGGGCATGCGGGGAGAAGGAAGGGATGAGGATGGAATGACACCAGTAACTTAGTTCCTTTTAGGGAAAGGGGGCATGCAGGAAGGGTCACAGGAGGGTTCACGACTCCTCAAGGAAGGTTTTCTCAGTATTTATTGTTGAGAGCTTTGGTGGGGGATGGGAAGGTCATCTGGAAGCCAATTTAGAGTCAGAGAGTTCTGGTTTTTCCTCTTCCTCCAGAGAAGGATGAGCTGATTCCATAGATTTCCTTATCTAGACATTGAGAGGCATCTTACAGTGCAGCGCAGAGAGCACTGGGCCTGGATGCAGGCCGCCCTGGCCTCAAACCTGGTCTCCGACACTTATGCCCTAAGTGCCCCAGGCGAGTCGCACGATCTCTGTCTGCTTCAGTCTCCTTGACTGTAAAATGTGGATAGTAACATCATCTACTTCACAGGCTTGTTCTGAGGATCCAATGTGCTCATATTTGTAAAGACAGCTTTCAGCACAGTGCCTGGCACGTAACCGGCATGCAGAAATGATTATTTCCTCCCCTTCCTTCCTCACCATTTGCAACTGGAGTTTTGGGGAAGTATCAAGGAAATACAATGAGGCTTTTGAGAGTAAGACTAGTAGCTGTGAGCTACAACTTTAGGAAGAACCTTCCAAAAACCAGACCCACCCAAAGAGGAAGAGGCTATTTTGGGAGGTAGGGGGTGCCATCTCCAAGGAAAAACTGCATGAGTGGTTTTCAGAAATTTGGCAGACAAAATTCATGTTCAGGGAAAGGTTAGACTGGATCAAGGGTAGGGAATCTGCAGCCTCAAGGCTACATGGGGCCCTCTAGGCCCTCAAATGTGACCCTTTGACTGAATCCAAACTTCACAGAACAAATCCCCCTAAGAAAAAGGATTTGTTCTGTAAAACTTGGACTCAGTCAAAAGGCCACACCCAAGGACCTAGAAGGCCACATGTGGCCCCACCCCTGGACTAGAAATAACCTCTGAGATTCTTCATTGGCTTGATCTTTGACCTCAGCCTCCCCAGAACCAGTAACAGGCAGCTTCAGGAGCAACAAAGGAAAGTCCCAGCTCCCTACACACACAACAAAGACCTTTTACAGGAAAACCAGGCAGTAGGAGGACCCTGTCTCTTGGACCCAAGAGATCAGCGTTTTGGCCTTTCCAATTACTGATAAATGCTACAAACTGCATACTGGGGAAGGAAAGAAGGCAGTCCCTTTGATAGTGGACTCAGATTTACCAGGGTTAGTGTCCTTACCCAGGGACAACAGGTTCCGGGCATTCTCCCCCATGACCTCCTTGTACAGCTCTTTCTGAGAATGGTCCAAGAGGCCCCACTCCTCTGGGGTGAAGTCCACAACCACATCCTTGAATGTCACCAACCCCTAAACCATCAAAAATGATAGGACTTGGAGCTAAAAGAGACTTCAGAATTGATCTAGTCCAACCCTCATCAATTTACATGAGGAAACAGACAAATAGAAAAAGGATTTCCCCAAAGGTTATGCCCTTCATGAGTAGCACAGCCAACACTTAGAAGCACAGTCATGAAAAGCTCAGTGGAATACTGAGAACAGCTTTTTATATATGCAATTGGAATAAAATTGAGAAATGTGTTACTGGGAATTGCTTTTCCCTATGGAATGAGAGAAGTTACATGTTCTATAAGAGACACAAATCATGAAACAAAATCAAAAGAATGAAAAAAATGGAAGAGCATGAGAAACATCTCATCAGAAAAACAATCGATCTGGAGAATAAGTCGAGGAAAAATAATATAAGAATAGTCAGACTAGCTGAAAATTATAATAAAAAAAAGAATCTTGAAATGATATCACAAGAAATTATCAAGAAAGACTGCCCTGAAATTCTAGAACAAGTGAAAGGAGAAATAGAAAAAAGTCCACCAAACACCACCTGAAAGAGATCCCAAGAGGAAAATTTATGGAACTATCACAGCCAAATTTCAAAGCTCCCAGGTTAAGGAGAAAATATTGGAAACAACAACAACAACAAAAAAAAAGTATTAATATCATGGAGCTACAACAAGGATTACACAAGACCTAGTAGCAACTACAATGAAGGACCACAGGTCTTGGAATACTATATTCTGTAGAGCAAAAGAGCTGGTTTTATGACCAAGTGTAATTTATGTAGCAAAGCTAAGTATAATCCTAAATAAAAATTTTTTTTTAAAAACATACATTTAACAGAACATTTGACATATGACACCCAGGCGAAATATACAGTAAACATTAAAAACCAATTATAAGGGATTCAACAAGGTCAAATTGTTTACTTCATACATCTGAAAATATTAGCAGTACTCTTACAACTGTCATCATTATTTGGGTAACTTGAAAGAAAGCGTGGGCTGAGCTGAGTACGATGGGGTGCTTTTAAAGAAATAAAACTGTAGGAAGAGACGAAAAGGAGCAATTAATTACCTTACACAAATGACACATAAAAAGAAAAACTGATACAGAAGAAGCTAGTAGGGGGAGGGGAGGTCATGCTAGGACCTTACTCTCATCAGGAATGGGTTAAAGAGAGAAGACAGATAGATAGATGGATAGATACATAGATAGACAGACAGACAGATAGATAGATGGATGGATAGATGGATGGATGAACAGATATAGATATATATGAGTATAAAAGTCTTCTGAATTCAGAAAAAAATAAGAGGGCAAGAGGATAGGGTGAGGGGAGGATAAGGAAAGGACTCTTAGAGGGTTGGGTAGGTAAAGTAATAGGAAGACAAGGTAGTGGGTAGAAGTAAAGTAGAGGAGGAGGGATAGAGTAAATAGGGTGAGAAGGATAGTGAGAAGGAAGGAGGAAAATACACAAGTAACTGTAACTTAAAATGTGAATGGGATGAGTTTACCCATAAAATGGAAACAGACAGCAGATTAAAAATTTGAATTCAACAATATATTGCTTTCAGGAAACAATAAAAATGAGAAATATATACAAAGATAAAAATAAAGGGCAGGAGTAGAATTTAATGTGTAAAAAAAAGCAGGGATAGTAATCATGATCTCAGACAAAGTTAAAGTCAAAATAGATTTAAACAAAAGTGAAAAACAGAGAAACTACACCATGCATCCACAATATTATTCAATATTGTTCTAGACCATTAAAATAACTAGACAGTATAAATACCTGAGTGTATACCTGCCAAAAGAGACACAGGAGCTATATGAACACAAACATAAAACACTCTTTATACAAATAAACTCAGATCTAAATAACTGAAGTAATATTTATTGTTCATTGGTAGGTAAAGCCAATACAATTTTTTAAATGACAACTTAATCTAACTAATCTATTTATATAATGCCATCCCAATTAAATTACTAAAAATTATTTTACTTCATTAGAAAAAATAATAATGAAGTTAATTTGGAAGAACAAAAGGTCAGGAACTTCAAAGAAACCAGGGAAAAAAGATGTAAAAAAGAAACAGATTCAACAGTATCAGACTTTAAAATATATTAGGAGGTGAGAACATTGTTGAAGTATGAAATAGATTATTTGGATTATTTTAAATTAAATTTTTCTTGCATGAATAAAACCTATGTAGTCAAGAATAGAAGGAATGCAGAAAACCGAGGGAAAAAACTTTTACAGATAATCTCTAAGATAGATGTGAGTGGGTTAGAATAATGCTTTGGTATAGGAAATGATGAGCGCTGAGTTAGAAAAACATGGAAAGAGTTGGACCTATGAAGAAAAATGCTATCCACCTTGAGAGGAATAGATGACAAGTGGAAATAAGCATAGTACAGTCTTACATACATGCGTATGAGTGTCCATGTGTATATGTGTGTATGTTTACAGATATCTATGTATGTGGATATGTGTGTGTGTATGTTTAATTGTAGCCTTCTTTAGGGTGAGGGGAATGAGGGGAAAAAAAATAAAATAAAAAGGACACAGCAGAGAACACAGGCAAACCAAAAAGGAAGCAAAGAAGAACTGGGCAACTTTGAAGACAACGTGTAGTATTTAATAAAAAGATTGTCTTCAAATGGAAATTTATTGTTTTACACTGAATCCTCTCTTAGTCTGCTGTATACATAGCACTGGGCTTTTTTTTTTCCTTTTCTCGTTTGGTAGTTAAATTTAAAATAAAAAATTTACAAAAAAAAAGAAAAGATGAAAAGAATTATTAAGATATATTAATCACAATCTGGACTGAACTAAGGTGGTATGAGACTGTTTCCAATCATGGGCAAAAAAGCTACCTAGTGTTATACTGAGGTCTTGAGGTGGCTCTGGGTATGATGGTCAAAGCATTCAATGCCTTTTTGCTTTATGGGTGCTTTCATTTGTAAATGGCATATATTCACTAAATTTGATATTTAGTTTTACAGAAATAAGAATAACTAAGAAGTGGAACAGAGATTTCCTTCATTCACAAATAAAGGTAATATTTTATTAACCAAGATGGGGTTTGATCTAATTCCTGAGGAAGACGTTACCAGTTGCCTCATGAAAAAATACAGAGTCTAAACATGCCCCTCAATCTCTGGGAACTGGGAGAATGACTTGAGGCAGACTGATGAACCACGTGGAGGAGGGGCTGACCAGACCTGAAAATATGTCCATCCTTGGGCTAGGTCATTTATTTCTCCAACCTGCTAAATGGAGAACACATTTGGCCAGTGTGCTAGGAATCTGATGGTCTTCGGGGTCATTTTCTTCCACTTCCGTTATAGTTAATGACTCACTTTTTTTAGAGTTTCTATTATGTTGGAGCAATTCTCTATCATATGGATAAAATGCTTTTTACTTTTTCATCATTTTGGTTTGTTCTTTTAAACAACAGATTTCCGCTCTATTTGAAGTCGCATTTCATCTTTAACATCCTATCTTTTTAATATTTCTCTTATGAACAGTTAAGGAACTGATTGATCTCTTTCCACCTTTTCTTCCAACTAGAGCCTCTTAACTCATTGTTTTTCATTTCATAGAATTTATTCACAGGGCCCACACTCTCACTGAAGGAAGGCAGTCCTTTGTCGATTGATAATTAAAATTCCTAACTCACTCCCAACAGAAATTTCCAAACTTCTTTGCCTTCTATTCCAAAGTTTTTTCTCTCTTCCCACATCCATCCTTCACCAGTGTGGGGTGGGGCCATGAACTCCAAACATCCATTTAAGGAGAGGGCTCAGCTCATACCTCTCATTTCTCACCTAGCTGCACTACCTGTGAGATTTATTTGACTGATTCATTCGCCATGCACCAGAGTCTCTTACTGGGATAACCTCATGCCCCTGTAATGTCTCATCAGTCATCACTACCCTCTGCCTCTCTGATTAGAGGGTGGGGCCATGGAAACCAAACCTCCATTTAAGGGGAGAGCTCAGCTTAAATACTCATTTCTCACCTGCTACACTCCTTTGGCATTTCTCATTGACTTCACCACACCCCAGGGTCTGGTACCTGCTGCCATCCCTCTCCACTTTTCAGTTTCCTTCTGTATGGTGTCTTCCCACATTAGATCATATGCTCTGTGAGGGCAGGAACTGTCTCTCATCTTAAATTTGAATTTCTAGCCCCTTGGCACCTGACCTGGAACACAGTAGGTACTTACTATTGATGGACCATTGAAGACCCAATCCTTCTCATTCCAGAACCTGCCCCTTATTTTACCTTAAAAACAGAAGCCCCTCAACCTGAGCTAACTCTGCTCCCAGCCTCCTTTAAATATCGCCAACATGATGTCCAGTAGTATAAACTCACCAGGTCCAGAAGAGAACTTTTTACCTTCCCTCTTACTGTCAAAGGCAATACCATGCTTCCAGCAAACCTAGACATCATTCTCAACTCCCATTTCTCTCCCCTCTTCTCTTATCTGATGCCCAGGTCTGTGGATTGTACCTTGCAACATCTCTCAATCACGCCCTCTTCTCCCCTCTGACACTACAACCACCTTGGTGCAGGTCCTCATCATGTGGCCCTCGGACTGCTGCAGTAGCCTGCTGCTGGGTCAGCCGGCCTCAAGGCTGCCCCCACTCCAATGGGTCCTCCATTTGGTCCACAAAGCAATTTCCCTAAACTGCAGGTCTGATCATGTGACTCCTCTACTCCATAAACTCCAGTGGCTCCCTACCACCTCCAGGATCAAATGCAAATTGTCTTGCATTGAAAGCCCATCATGACCTGGACATCGCCTGGTATTCTGGTCTCCTCACACCTGATTTCCTGCCCCCACTCACTGGTCCAATGACTCTGGCCTCCTTGCCACACCAGAAGAAGACATTCCATCTCTCTGGGCAGGGCATTTTCTCTGGCTGTCCTCCATCAAAGGAATCCTCTCCTATCTCTGTCTACTGGCTTTGCAGCAAGTCTTAACTAACATCCCATCTTCTACAGGAAGTGGACTTTGCAATTCCTCTTAATTCTAGTGCCTTCCTTCTTTTAATTATATTCTATTTATCTTCCAATGGCTTGTTGAGGACACTGAGACCTGGTTCAGATCAGTGAAGCTCCCACTGTGCTCACAACAGCCAAGCATCGGGGACCTCTTTGGGACAGTGCACAGGATGCAGCTGCCTTATTCAGGCCGTCTCTACCAAGAACCCTGACAATTCTTACTACAGAATCAAATGAGACAATATTTATAAGGCTTGTGGAACGGACCAGACACCATGACCAGCTCCAAGCCCCTTCCAGTCTTCTTTCACCTTCCTCCCCTCCAGCTCCTCTCTGACCCAGGGACACTGGCCTCCTGGCTGATTCTTGACCAAGACCCTCCATTCCCTCACTCTGACTTCCCAATGGCTGTCCCTCATGCTTGGAATGCCCTCTCCTTTCACCTGTGCCTCCTGGCTTCCTTCCAGTCTCTGATAAAAATCTCCTCTCTGAAAACATGCTTTTCAAGGTCTCCAAAACCGCTGGAACCTTCTCTGTGAAAGCACCTCCCTTCTATACTGCAAAGAGATTGTTTGGACATAGCTGCTGACAGCATGTCTCCCCCATTAGACTGGGAGCTCTTTGAGGGCAGGAACTGGTTTTTCCTTCCTTTGTATCCAAGGAAGTTCTAAACAGTGTCTGACACAGAGGAACCACTTTCTAAACATTTGTTGACTTGACTTAAAAAATGGTAAAGGGAAGAGATTCAGAGAGATCTGGGGAGACACATGCGAGCTGAGGCAGAGTCAGTGAGTAGAACCAGGACAATTTAGCTCTGAGGACAACACAGTTAAGGACCAGAGCCAGGGGACCCTTCGGGCCTCTGCTCCAGGCCTGTCCAGACAAGACTCAGGTGGGAAGGGGTTTTCTTTGACCTTCAGTGGCTACAGGGGACAGCATGGCCACAAGAAACAGAGAGGGGAGGACTTGTGTGTAGGGGAGGGGGGCTGGGCAGGCAAGAAGAGAGCAACCAAAGGGCTATAAAAAGGCGCATACTCTTTGACCCAGCAATAGCACTTGTAGGGCTGCATCCCAGAGACATCATACAAATGGGAAAAGGACCCACATGTGCAAAAATATTCACAGCAGCTCTTTTTGTGGTAGCAAAGAATTGGAAATTGAGAGGATGCCCATCAATTGGGAATGGCTGAGCAAGTTGTGGTATATGAATGTAATGGAATACTATTGTGCAAGAAGAAGTGATGAGCAGGCAGACTTCAGAAAAACCTGCAAAGACCTGTACGGACTGAGCTGAGTCTAAGTGAGCAGAACCAGGAGAACATTGTACACAACAGCTACATTGTATGAAGACTAATATTGATAGACTTTACCCCTCTCAGCAATACAAGGATCTAAGATATCTACAAAGGCCTTGTGATAGAAAATGCTGTCCTCATCCAAAGAAGGAACTATGGAGTTTGAATGCAGATCAAAGCAGACTATCTGCTATTTTTTTTCTTCTGTTGAGTTTTGTTTCCTCTCTGTGGTGGTTCTTCCTATTGGTTCCAATTCTTACTTATAACATCACTAATGTGAAAATATGTTTAATAGGAATGTATATGTATAGTCTATATCAGATTGTGTGCCATCTTGGGGAGGGTGGTGGGGAGGAAGAGGGAGAAAAATTTAAAACACAAAAGCTTATGGAAGTGATTGCTGATAAATTAAAATAAATTAATTTTACAAAAAGAGAGAGCAAAGCCATGAGGCCTAGGGATAGGGACTGACCAGCAAAGAGGTTGCCCTGGTCAGTCACTTGTACTGAGAACCTGAAAACAAACAGAGGGCAGGGACTGGGGGAGTTGGTGCTCAAGGTGCCCACCTACCAGGAATCGGTTCAAAAGGCAGAAGGAGGGAGCAGGACAGTGTGGTTACTACTGTATTCAATTCCCTGCCTATTTTTGTAAAGAAACAATCCACAGGGAAGAAAGACTGACAGCCTCACAGCCAATCCTGTCTCTGGAAATGGCCTCATTGGCTGATGTCGATCAAGCCTGAGGACAGAGTACACTCACCTGGGCTGGGGGTCTGTGGCTCCCAGGGGCCATTCCCTCTGGTTCCAGGCTCCCTACTTGGGCAGGGCCTTGGTCCTCTGCAGGCTCAGCTGAGGAGGAAGAAGGATCCCAGAGATGGAGATGTCTTTCCCTTCTCTTCCTAGGCAGGAGGGTGACCTACAGGGATGTAAGGGAGTAAGTCCCACTGGAGTTACAAAGATCCTGGCCCTGCCCTCAGGGCAGAGACTCCAGCAGGGGAGGTACCTGGTAGGGTCAGGCTTGAAATGAAGATGGTCTGAACAGGAAGACTACTTCCCTCCTTCTCTTACTCCTTCTCTCCTGCCCCATCTTTCTACAGAGACCCAGAAGCCAGAGGGGGCTTTGAGATCCTGGGTGAGCTGAGATAAATCAGAGCCTCAGTGACGCCTGAGTCAGATCCCTCCCTCCAGTTGGTACTCTCCTCCTCTCTGCATCCCCTATCCCCAACTCACTCACACACTCACACACACACACACACACACACACATACACACAATCCAGACAACAGACTCACTCACTGCTTGATCTATGAGGTTGAGGATGGGAAGGGATATGGGATGGCACTGCCAGGAAGGAACAGTGGAAGCCTCAGGTGGGAGAAAGGATCCTTTCCACTACTCAGTTGAGGGGCCTGAGGGCTCTGAAAAAAGTGGGGGCAGGAAAGGAGGAGGCCTGGGGAAGGAAGGGTCTGGGAGGCAAGACACTGTAACAAAGCCAGGGGAAGGGAAAAGGGACATCTGAGTGACAGAAGGGTTCCAGGAGGGCAGCTGAGCCTGGGAAAGCAGGACAGCTATGTCCTGGGGTCTGACTAGGAGCTGAGGAGGACTCCTGGGTTACCCTTTCAGAGATTAAGTTTGGAGGCCGCTTATCTGGGTCCCTGGTATCTGACAGGGAGTCAGCCCAAGAGTTACAGGTCCAGTTAAGAAAGGCCAGACAGTGGCCTTTCAGTGCCTGGGTCCTAGTTATGGCCTGGGTCCTCAAAAAAAGCCAAGGTTGTTCACAGGACAACCAAATCTCTGAACAGGAGCTGAGGGCAGGGAGACAGGACAGATGGGTCCTGATGGGAGGCTGAAGGCAGTACTCCTGGGTCCCTTTGGGAGAGGTCTGACGGTTGGGTAACTGGTACCCTAATGGTAAAGCTGGGGATGGCACCCTAGGATATTTGCGATGTAATGGGGAACCTTGACAGGAAGCCAGCCAGAGAGCCAGCGTTTGGAGGCAAAACGGCTCCTGGTGGTCCTAGAGGACCCTCAGCATGAGATCAGACAGGGAGGATGAGATACAAAGGAAAAGTCAGACAGCAGAATCCGAGTGCCTCATGCCCCCTGGCTCAGACCTACCTAAGACCTGCATGCACAGAGCTGGCTTCCGGAAGGCAGAGGGCTCTCAACTGTAAGAGAAAGCAGAGTGATTTCAGCTCCAAGAGAAAGCAGAGTAATCACAGCTCCAAACAAAGAAGGCAGCTTGATCAGCGACAAGGGCTCATGCTTCCACTCAGCCAGTCTGGGCAGGCCCTCCCACTCCCAAGAGTCCCACCCTGCCCAGTCCAGCTGAGAAGCCAGGATCTTCCCTTTCCTCCAGTGTCTCCTAGAGCAGGACCTCAGACCCTGCCTACTTCTCTGCCCCAATCTCTGGCCTCCATCACTTGGAACGCACTGGCCACTGGAATAACTGTTTTCCACTTGACTCCTCCTCCTCCAAACTCCAGCCCAGGGCTCCAATTCCATGGTTCACTCACATGGCTGAGTTCCTCTTCCTTAACCTCCACCACCACCTCCCTCCCTCCTTATCCCTACTTTGGGACTCAGACCTTCCTCCTTCTAAACAGAACCTCCTAGCCTTCTCCCAGCTCTTCCCCTGCTGCACTCTTCTTTCAAATTGGGGCATCCATGCCCTACAGGCCTTTCTCCCTCCTCTTTGCTCTCGTTGGGATACAGACTTAGTAGTGGCATTTCTGGGTTAAAAAGCATGCACGGTCTGATAGCCCTTTGGGCAGAGTTCCAAATCATCTTCCAGAATACCCAAACCAATCCATGATTCCACTAACAGTGCAATCAGTGTCCTATTTTTCCACATCCCCTCCAGAATTTTTCATTTTCCTTTTCTGTCTTGTTAGCTAACATGACAGGTGTGAGGTGGTACCTCAGAGCTATTTTCATTTGCAATTTTCCAACAGTGATTTAAAGTATTTTTTTCAAAGGAGTTTCTTACTTTGAAAACTACAAGAAGAAATCCACGCTATCAACCACCGTACAAAAAAAAATGCACCACATCTCTAATCACTTATCCAAGTCACCAACAATTACAAAGATTCTGAGACTGGCAAAGATGACCAGAAAATGAAAATGACAAATGCTGGCAGACCTGAGGAGTGTTAGACACACTGACACTGTTTGTGAAGCAGTGAACTGGCCCATGCATTTCTGTACAACAATTTGAGGCTGTGAACAAGAAGTTCCTAAAGTGTTCATACTCCTTGATCCTGGAACACCTCTATTAGCCCTGAGTACCAGCAGGATCAAAGAAACAGGAAAAGAGCCCAAGTGTTCAAAAATATTTTAGTGGCTCTGTTTATTACAGCAAAGAACTACAAAAAGGAGGTACCTATTAATGGCCCTAATGGCTGAGAAAATTATGACACATTAATGTAATGGAATACAACAGAAAATTCATTCTGGGGACAAGCCCTAGATGGACTCACCGTGGGAAGGCCTTCAGCCAGAAATCATCTCTCATTTATATCAGAGGATTCACATTCATGAATGGACTTCATGGGGAAATGCCCTTTTCTAGAAGGAGGTGACTGGACATTAGAATATTCATATTGGAAAGAAGTCTTATAAAAGCAATGACTATGGGAAGGCCTTCACCTAGAGCTCATACTTGACTGTACACAGAAGGAACTGGGCTAGGGTTAACACATATGGATCTCTTTCATGAGGGCAGGCCTTTTGCTGTGGCATAGACAGGATTAGCTATCTGGAATTTCATACTGTGAATAAATATAATGAGTTCTTCTTCAAAATATTGTTTATCATTACTCTTCCGTAATATTCAATAGCATCCTTTAACTATCACTTCTTTAGCCACTCCTCAAATGACTGCTACTCACTTTGCTTCCAGTTCTTTGCTGGTGCAAAAAGTCCTAGTATAAATAGTTTGGAATCTGTTGGACATTTATTTTGGGAATGATGGTTTTCTTTAGGCCACTCAGTGGCTCAATGGATAGAGTTGTGTGCTGGACACCAGAAGACCTGAGTTCAAATAAAGTCTGATGCTGACCCTCGGCAAGTCAATTAACATATCCCTGCCTCAATTTCCCCATCTGTCTGTTGTGATGCTGGTGGAGTGTCAGTCGTTCAGTCAGGTCTGACTCTTCAGGACCCCATGGACCACATCACGCCAGGCCCTTCACTCACCCACTACCTGTCAAAGTCTGTCCAAGATCACATTTGTTGCTTTCCTGTCACTATCTATCCACCTCGTCCTCTACCATCCCTTTTCCTTTTGCCTTCAGTCTTTCTCAACAGTCTGTCTTCTCATTACATGACCAAAGTATTTAAACCTCAGTATCTGACCTTCCACTGAACAGCTTGGATTATTTCTTTAAGTGTGGGCTGATTCAATCTCCTATGTGGGCAAGGGACTCTCAAAAAGTCTTCTCTAACACCACAATTCAAAAGCGTTGATTCTGCAGCGCTCAATGTTCCTTCTAGTCCACCTGGGCTGGGACGTATTGCTAGCCAATCAATGACAGTGAAAATGATTTGAGTTTAAGGCATGGTCCTTAAAAAAGAAATCTAGCCTGTAAACCCCGAGATACCTTGTGAGATTTCAGGGATCAAAATGTATATTCCTTTGGGCAGAGCACCTGCAATGAAGGGTATAATTCCCTATGGGGATGGAGGGAGGAAGAGGGAGGAGACAGGGAGAGAAGGGAGGGAGGGAGGGAGGAAAAGAGGAAGGAAGAAATGAAGGAAGGAAGGAAGGAAGGAAGGAAGGAAGGCAGGAAGGAAGGAAGGAAGGAAGGATGGAAGGAAGGCAGGAAGGCTGGCCAACCGGAACTATCCAGTTGGGTCCCCAGCGAGGCACCTAAAGACACTGACCAATTATTGATTGTTGTTTGTCCTTTGTTCTGAAGAGAACCATGACATCAGGAAGGTGATGGAATGACTTGCAAGTGAATTAGATTTAAGCGAGGCAGGGCTGTGCCAAGTCACCAGCCTCACTCTCCTCCGAAGCCATCTGGGTCCGGTGGCACGATATAGATCAAGACCACTAGAAATGACCCCAGATGCAGTGGGAAACCAGGGCTGTTTTAAGCTAAGGTCTTTCTTGGGTCTCAGTTTGTCAGAGGCAATGCCCATTCAGGGATTAAGCTAGGTAAGAATGAAGCACAGAATGGCCTCTTTTACTGAGTCAAAAAAAAAAAATCAATCTGTGAGGTGAAACCCTCAGAGTTTCTACCAAAACAGAAAAAATTGCTATTTATACTCAGGTGAATCACCAGAGCCCAAATCACGACCAAATGAGGCTTGGCCAACAATAGGTAAATGGTTTAAGATACTGGTCTATGACCAATTTCTGCTACCCTACCTTCCAGCTATCCCAACAATTTTTACCAAGTAATGAATTCTTATTCCAAAAGCTTAAATCTTTACATCTGTCAAACACAAGGTTACCATAATCACTTATTACTGCGTACTGTTATGGCTAATTTGTTCCACTGATTTAGCTTTCTATTTTTAGCCAGTAGTTTTGATAATTACTGCCCTACAATACAGTTTAAGATGTGGTACTACTAAACCTCATTCCTTTACATTTTTTTTAATTGGTTCCTTTGATATTCTTAACCTTTTGTTATTCCTAATGAATTTTATTATTATTTTTCTAACTCAATAAAATAATTTTTGGTAATTTCATTGGGATGGCATTGAATAAATAGATTAGTTTAGGTAAAACTGTCATTTTTATTATAATGGCTCTGTCTATCCACGAACAATTTCTACTTCTCCAGTTATTTAAATCTGACTTTATTTGTATAAAAAGTGTTTTAGAATTATGTTCATGTAGTTCCTGGGTTTCTTTCTAGCACGCATACTCCTAAGTGCTTTATACTGTCTACTATTATTTAAAGGGAGTATCTCTCACTATCTCTTCCAGCAGGGTTTTGTTGGTGAGGTACAAAAGTGCTGATGATTTATGCAGGTTTATTTCATAACCTGCTATTTGCTAAAATTATTCATGGCTTCTACTCACTTTTTAGTGACTCTCTAGGATTTTCCAAGTACATCATCATTATCGTTGGCCAAAAGAAATAGTTTTATTGCCCATTTTGATTGTTTCCATTTTTTTCTTCTCCTATGGTTATTACTGACATTTCTAAAACAATACAGGATATCGGTGGCAATGGGAATCCTCGTTTCACTCCTCAACTTACTGGGGAGGCTTCTAGCTTATCTCCATCACAAATAATGCTGGCTGGTGGCTTCCAGCAGAGGCTTTTTCATCATTTAAGGAAAAGTCCAGGCATCTGGGTGGCGGAATGGATACAGCACCGACCCTGAAGTCAGGAGGACCTGAGTTCAAATCCAGCCTCAGACCAAACACTTGACACTTACTAGCTGTGTGACCCTGGGCAAGTCACTTAACCCCAATTGCCTAAAAACAAAACAAAAAACAAAAAAAAAGGAAAAATCCGTGCATACCTACATTTCAAGCGTTCTTAACCTGAATGAGCGTCGTAGGTTGTCCAAAGCGTTTTCTGCTTCTCCCGATATAATCACGCCCTTGGCTCCGCTGTTACTGCCATAACCAGCGGCGTCACCAGCTGAAGCCCCCGGGCATGCCTGGCACGAATCCCTGGTGCCCACGCGGAGCCCGGTCAGCCACCGCCGCGCCGCTGTCCTGCCTTGCAGCGGGGAACCCGAACATCGCTTTCCTTCTGCGGCTCAGCCCTGCGGCTGACGAGGCTGCCAGGCGCCCGCACGTGCGGGCACGCTCCTTATCCGCACCCACATTCCGGGGGCACTCTGCCTCCACGCGGGACTCGCCCACTCCCCACCTCCGCGGCGGGGCCGGGGGCTCCCTGGCCTTGACCCGGGGTCAGCGCCCGCCGAGCCCTCGGCCCCGCGACCATCCGGGACACGGACAACTTCGCAGAGAGGAAACCCCGCCCCCCAAGTCTCTGCGGGCGACCCTCCCCCGCCCCTTCCCCGACAATCAGCCCCGGAGGGCCCCACGGGGGAGGGGGCGTTACTGAAGACGGACTGGGGTCTCGGGGCGCAGGATGGAGGGGCTAAGGACCCCGCGGGAGAAGGAAGCGTTGCACAGTCAGCTCTCCGAGCCTTCCCCCGCCTTTGCTCCTGGGCATGCGCGGAGCCCAAGACTACATTTCCCAGAAGGCCTCGCGCCGCGCTCCACTTCCGCTTTCTCCCCTGTCCTCCCTCGCCCCTCCCCGTCACCTTGTGACCTCCGTCTGTCAGGCTCTGTCGGCTCTGGGTCAGCTGGGGCGTGCGGGGGGGGGTAGGGCTCTAACGCCCCCACACACCCCACGAGACCTGGGCGTCCGAGTCCCTCCCTCGCCACCGGACCCGGGAGACGTGTGTCCCCCCACAAAGCCTGGCATCCCCCGCCCCCACCCTTCACCGAGACCCAGGCTCCCAGAGCCCCCTCCTCCCGGAGCCCCCGAAATGCGACCATCCCGAGCCCTGCCCCACCTCGATCACCAGGATGCATGATGCCCTTCCCTGCCACCCCGGCCGAGCCCACCCAGACCCAGGAACCCCGCGCCCCCCACCCCAATTCCCCTCCCCCCCAAGTCTCCAGTGCCCCAGGTCCCTTGCCCCCCACCGAGAGCAGAGCTCCTGCCTCTCCCTCTCCTGGACCGGGCAGCCCTGCCCCCACAACGTGCACCCCAACATCGTGTCTCCCCCCTCCTCCCCTCCCCCCAGCCTGGCCCTGGCTCAGCCCCCCCAAAGCTGGTTCGCCGCCCCCGATTCTCTCTTCCATTCCCTCCAGCACCTGCCAGGAGGCCTTGACGTTCCCCTCCGGAGCCCGTCCAGGCTGCCCCTTCCCCGGGGGTCGCCAGCGTCCCCACCCCTGCCTCTGACCCAGCCAGCATCCGGGGCTTCTGTCCCCCTGCCCCCGACCACCAGACCCCTGCCCTCCCTTACTGACCCCTGCTGAGGGTCTGAGAGTGTCGGGCTGGACTCTGGTCCCCTCCGGAGTTTGAAGGCAGGCTGGGGGGTGGGCGAAGAGGAAGGGGATGCTCCCTGCTTACTTCCAAGATTCATTCGTTCTCCAGACTCCAGACTCCACCCGCTTTCCCCCAGTGTTGTTACCCTCGGGGAGCCTTCCCGGGGACGGGGGTGGGGTGGGGGGGGCGCTGTTTCCAAGGAAGCCGAGTCCCCAGCCTTCTCTGATTTTGGGGGCTGGGACCCCTGGCTGCTCATGTGCTCCTGCTATAGTCGGCAAAAGTACATGAAGTGCCTGCTGTGTGCAGGTGCTAGGCCAGGCCAGAGTGATACCAAAAAGGCTAAAAGATTGCCTGGCCACAGGAGCTCCCATTCTAACAGGAGATACATCATGGAAATGATATCTGTCTGTCTGTCTGTCTGTGTCTTTGTGGGTGAGTGTGTCTAGAGAGAGGATGGGAGGTTATCTCAGGGGGATGGCATCAAGAGCTGGGGTGACAGGGAGAGACCTCCAGGAGGGGGGACCTAAGCTGAGTCCTACAGGGAACCCAGGGAGGGAGGGGCCAAGCATTCTTGCTGCTCTCCCAGGTCACTAACGGCTCTTCCTGCTTTCCCTCTGCAGCCTGTGACTGTCCATCCTCCTCTTCTCCCACTTCTCCTATCTGTCTGACCCGTCCTTCTCCAGGTCCTCTGCCTGGTCTTCATCCAGGTCACACCCACTAAATCTGTGACCAAGGATGTCCCACCCCACTCTGCTCTGGATCCTCTTCTCCCTCTTCCACTTCACCGGGGGGATCTCATCAGCTCCCAGGGATCAGTGATCATCTCCACGCTGAGCATTCTCAGATCTCCTCATCCAGCTCTTCCCTCTCTGCTGACCTCCCATCTCACATCCCTTAGGTGCCTCTGGGACATCTCCAACTGGATGTCCTGTAGCCATCTTATACTCAACATGTCAAAGACTGAAGTCATCATCTTCTCCCCCCAACCCTCCCCTCTTCCCTATTACCACCACCACCCCCAGTCCCCCAGGCTCACAGCCTAGGTGTCCTGCTTAACTCCTCAGTCCCTTATCTTTGGCTGTTCCCCACCGCCAACATCCAACTCTTGTCCAAGCCTGGTGACTTCACCTCAGCAGCATCTCTCCAATATCCCCTTCTCTCCTGTGACTCAGCCCCCACCCTGGGCAGACCCTCATCACCTCACATCTGGACTATTGCAGTAGCTGCTGGGAGATCTGCCCACCTCCAGTCCATAATCCTTTCAGCTGTCAAAATGAGCTTCCTAAAACGCAGATCTAACAGTGTCACCCTCCCACTCAGCTAACTGCAGTGGCTCCCTATTGCCTGCAGGAGCAAACACAGAATCTTCTGTTTGGAGTCCAAAGCTCTCCAAAGCCCCCTCTCCCTTTCCAGTCCTCTTCCACCTTAGGCCAGCGCGCCCCCCCCCCCAGTGACACTTGATCTGGTGACACTGCCCTCCTGGCTGTTCCTCACACAGCGCCCTCCATCTCCCACCTCCTGGCACTTTCTCTGGCCGTTCCCCATGCCTGGGACACTCACCCTCATCTTGTTCTCTTGGTTTCCTTCCTGTCTCAGCTAAGATCTCACCTTCTCCAGCAAGTCTTTTGTTATTGTTGTTCAGTTGTTTTCAGTTGTGTTGGACTAGACCCCATTTGGGGTTTTCTTGGCCAAGATATCGGAGGAGTGGTTTGCCACTTCCTTCTCCGGCTCATTTTACTGATAAGGAAACTGAGGCAGACAGAGGTTAAGTGACTTTCCCAGGGGCATCAGTGTCTGAGGCCAGATCTGAGCTCAGGTCTTGCTGACTCCAGGCCAGTGCTCTATCCATGGTACCACCTGGCTGGCCGGACTTTCTGTTATTGTCCAGTTGTTTTCAGTCATTTTCAACCTTTTAGTTGTATTGTGTTGTTCGGTGAATTTCAGCCTTTCCAATGCCCCTTAATTCTAAAGCCTTTCTTGTGTTAGTTATCTCCACTTATATCAAATGTCACATCAAAAGTGAACAATAAAGGTGATTATATCCGAGAAATAGGGAGAATACCTTCAAGAAAACTATCAGAATTAGATTTATTATTTTAAAATTCACAGCCATGAAATAAAATGAGTATATTACATGTGTGTATGTATACATACACATGTATATAATATATATACACACACACATATATAATAAGAAAAAGGATTGCACATGAAATAATTTGTACTATTTATTGCTTGTTTTCATTTTGAAACAGTAAAAAATTCAATATGTCACTTTCCAAATTGTCCTGATGCCCTTGTCTGTACTCCATATACTGTAACTTCAGAAAGACTTGAGGAAGAAGGCACACCTGTTTCCAGCTCTCTCCTTTGCCAAATCAGCTATAGAGAGTCAAACATCGCAATTATCCCAACAGGAAAACACATCTCACTTAAAATGAGACCAGATTAGAATTTCATTTTAGGACAAAATCAAATCAGATCTAGATCCATGACCACAAATGGCATCATATAGCTCCTCCTCATGATCGGGGACCTCTTCCCTTCGGTGCTAGCTACTCCTGTACACTTGGGAGAGAGCGATAGGATGGAGAGCGGCATCCCAATTACTCTTGATTCAGCATGTTGAATCCAGCGCCTCCCTTTGTCAGGAAGCAGGTAGAAAAGAGTCCTGTGGGATAGCGGTTGGTCATACAACAATCAGAGTTGTGACAGCTTTCTAACTTGCTGGTCTTGACAATGTTGTTATTGTCACCAAGTACTCCCTTGATGCTACTCATCTCACTCTGCAACCATTCACTTGCCAGGTTTCAATGAAATTGCCTGTTTTGTGGCACATTCGTATTCAAATCCATTTATATACCAGGCTTTATTCAGCTGTCACCCTGTTATAAGACATGACACCTTAATTTCCAGTTGTTATCCTTAAAGGAGCTATAAGAAATATTTACATGTATTTGGGTCCTCTTCTATTCTTTGATTTAAGGGAATATGCCCTCTAGTGGTATCACTGAGTCAGAGGGGAAACACAAGTCAGTGATTTTGGGAGCTTCACACCTTCATCAACAAGGAACTGATTAATTTGCCTATTTTCTCACAGCCTTTCCAATCCTTGTTATCATTGCCAATTTGAGTGAGAGGTGGAACCTCACATATGGCTTAATTTATATCTGATTATTCGTAATTTTGATCAATTTCCTTAAGCTTTTTTAAACGTAATATTATTTTTAAATATATTTATTTCTTCCTCTCTTACCTGCCATCTTACAGGTGAAAAGGAAAGTAAAAAGACTTTCATTACAAATATGCAATGAAAAAAAAATTCCTTCCAATATCTGTTATTTTCATTTCATTATCACCTTTGCCGATCTGATAAACTTTCTAATTATTATTGATCTGCATTAATGATAACAGATGTGGAGCATTTTCCCATGGGATTGTTGATCACTTGTATTTCCTCCTTTGCAAACTGCCTATTCCGAGCTTTTGATCATAGGTCTATTGGGGGATGGCTTGTTTTCATAAATCTGTAACCAGTCTTTATATACCTTGGGTATGATGTTTTTATCAAGGAAATTTGCTACACATCTTTTCCCCAGTTAATTGCTTCTTTAGAACTAAGATGAATTAGATTTATTATATGATACAATGGGACATCTTAATTTTCTGTGATCTTTTTAATCCCTTGTTTGGTGATGAACTCTTTCCTTACCAATAATTGCAAAATATATCTTCTTCATGGTTCTTATAATTTACTTGAGGTGACCCTTTGGTCTAAGTTATGTATCCATTTAGAGCCAATCTGGTATACAGTATGAGATGTTGATCTACACTGAGTTTCTGCCAGACTGCTTCCTAGTTTTGGGGCTATTGGGGTTTTTTTAATTTGCTTTTTATTTTAGCATTTTGTAGTGATTGCTAAGTCCTGGCCCTGTAGTTGGAGGTATTGGA